CTTAAGCGTAACTCTCGCTGTTCCGCCTCTCTTGTCATTCAGGACAAGTTCCTCGCCATATGTTCGTCCGTTCTTTCTTTCAAGCGTTTTTCGCTCCTGCCAACTTCTTGTCTGTTGCGGTTTATTTCTTCCCGCAGACTCTCTCTTTCAATGTGGACTGCCCTTTCTAGTTCACTCATCCTTATTGACATCTGCTCGTTTTGTTCTCCTAAACTGTCCACTATGTTGTTTAAGGCTTCCTCTAGTGCTGCCCCGTTATCCACGAGTGGCGTCACTAGTGGTGGTGTAACCCTGTCGCTCCCAGGTAGCTTCGTGCTGGTCGAGATCCGGGCCTTAACTATCTCCCTCGACGTCTTTTCATTATCTACTTCAGGATCCGCTAACGCGTTGCCTAGCCCTCTGGTTCTACTCTCTCCAGTTTGTGGCTCTGAACTTGTCCTAATCGCGAAGTCTTTTGACTGGCCCGGTGTGTTTGCCTCTTTGCTTATCGTTGTCACTACACCAAATTTGTCCATGGTTCCAGTCTCTCTTCCGACGTGTGCCTCATTTTCCTGGATCGAACTATTGAGGCTGACTTGAGATCCAAAGTCCCCTTGCTCCTCTTCATCCTCTTCCTCCTGGGATTCACCGTCGTTTCCTGCTCCTCCTCCCATGCTGAATGGAAAGATGTTTCCGAAGGTGTTCTTCATTCTTTCTGAGAATGATGATGACGTTGTTTGTTTCCCAGTTCCTCCTGCCATCATAGTGTTGTCTGTCGGAGATCTTCTAGTTGCCGCTACTTCAGTTGAGATGTAGGACAGTTCCGACATCTCCTCTCGATCCAATGTCCCGGTGGAAGTGGCAAAATCTTGGCCTTGTTCTACCGGAGTAGATTCACTCGCCAGCCTTCTGCCTCTCCCTTCCAGTCCATTTACTTCCTGGTTGTCGTTCATGGTATGGTCCGTATTGACCTCCACTTCTAACAGTTCTTTCCGCTCTTCTGAGGTCTTCTGACTTCTCGTTTCAACCATTCTGCCTGAAAACGTCTCCCCTTTATCGGACCAAGATCGCTTGATCCAATCCACAAAAGGATCGGTCATCGTTTTTCTTTGCTTTTCAGGTATGAATTTCCTAGAGCTATTACCTCGTTTTGGTATCCTTGACTTGTATAGACTCATTCTCTATTTGTCACTTTTTAATGCCTATACTTAACCCGATTGCTAGAGACCTTACAGTTTTATTAACAATAATAATGACACAACACAATAATTTTAACAAGATTCTATTAAATAGTGACCACGAATCCCTGTATGTTATCAGAGTACAGTTTGTATAAAATTTATTCACACTAACCGATTATCGGTGGTAAGATTTGAAAACTAGCACAATATGATGTTATCAGTCAATTTAAAAGATATTGTACTCACTACCCAATCAAGCACAGTTTATGTTGATTTAAAATCAAAAAACAAAATATATATATTTAATGTCAAACTATGAATACTTCTATGAAAAAAAAACGTATGTGTAATGTACTCTTAGTCGGTCGCAGTACAATAGTCGAACCTGTCTTTTAAAGAAAAAGCTTTCCCTGCTCGGTGCTGCACCAAACAGACAAAACTTTGAAGGCAGTAATTTTAGCGTCTATTGCACCCACCGAGTACTGTGTTACCTATCTGCCTTCGGACTGCCCGAGCTAGACCTACTAAAATACTCAGGGCAGTCACTTTTCCCAAAAGCGTATTATGTTACAATCCACACCGATGAATCACGCTCGTTTTAATTTGGATTTAGTGTCGCGAATATCCGAGTTCGGACCTGTTTTGTTTTGGTCTGGTTCTTATTGAAAGGCAAGTCACCAGTGCAGTCACTGATTCCTAGCCTGTGTGCTAATAACCTAATACCTCTCACTTTAGTCTTTCTTTCGTTTACCTAAGTCCTTTAATAAAATAATACCCCTCCTGATTGGCACAAATAGGACCCTTCCGGACTGGCAGAATCTAGACCCCTCCGGATTGGGACCCCTCTGAGTTAGTTAATATAAGACCCCTCCGGATTCGGAACCCTCTTAACTTTGAAAAAATTTTTTGACCCCACCGGATACGTTCTCCGATGCAATTTTGCTCTTTCAATTAACTAGGAAGGGTATGCACTACTTTCCTAGACCCTTCCGGATTGAAGTTAAGCCTCTTATTTGACAATTCACACTAACGGTGAAGGGTCTTATCGCTCGCCTAACTTCGGCTCGATTAAGGTTTTGCTGTGCCTTTAGCCTTCCCTTTTCGTCTAGAACAGCCTAAAGTTACTTTACTCAACCGCTATCACCTTTTAGTAGGGGTATAAGGGCTTTTCTAAAAGAAATTTATAAAACGTGAAGGGTGTACCCTTCCAAATTGAGGAATTTGCTAAAAACAATCTCAAAAATTTTTCACGCTTACTTTTCCGAAAAACTTTTGTCCCTATCAGTAAGCTCAGCTAAGTTCTGATCTACTGGTACCAAGATCAACTCGATATACCCAGTAGTTCCAAAGTTATTAACCAAAACTTCTTTTTTCTAAACTCAAAAATTTTTCTCTCTTATAGGTTCCGCCTAACTTTTTCCGCAAATCAGGTCCTTTCGACCTAAAAATTATTGATCTGAGCTCAAAAGGCCTATACTCTTCTAGTTCAATGCAAAAGACCCGATCTAAAACGCTTTTGTAGAAGAAATTTGCGAAAAGCTATGCTACCTGTACCCCTCCGGATTGATGAATCCACCAAATCAAACACGTTAAGTTCGATTTCTCTGCAACCCGGAAGGCTTTCGGGTAGCGGGTTCTAAAACTTGTAGATTCACTAGTGGAAGTTGTCCGAACAACTATTTTTACTGTCGTAACTCAAAAAATTCAAAAAATTTTCTAAATTTATAGTGTTTCGTTTTCTCAAAAATCACGAAATTTCGGTTTTCGGTACCAAAATAGTTCCAACCACTTTCGAACTTAACTTAACCGGTTCTACCTATTGTGGTAAGGCAGTTACGATGTAACACACTAACTTAGCGCTTTTTTCCGTTTCAAAAAATATCGATATCTCAAAAATTGCGACTTGTGGGGGGATCAAAATATCGCTATTTTGACCCTAAAAACCGGTCTGTTTTCGTTGTTTTTCACTGAAAAACGATATAAGACTATTAATATCGGCTATATAATTAATAATATTAGTAATACTATACCCCTCCGGGTTCGCTCAAGATCCGAACTAAGGTGCTTAACTCGGATATTCGCAGTTCGGTGAAGGGTCACTACAGTGCAGCACTGTCGAGCCCCCCACAGATTACCATCTTAATTTTTGTACCAAAAGGGATACAAAACTTGCTAACGATACCCAACAGTCGATTGTTGTTGTCGTTGAGCCCCTTCTTGTTGCTCCTTGTACTGCTTGCCGGATCAGTCTTCCCCCAAGACCCTTCCGAATTGAGCGCAAATCAGCTGACCCTTCCGGATTGAGCGCAATTTATCATTAACGTGCTTAAATGCTCAAATAACCCTACAGTACAAGCCTCAAAAACGGGCTACAAAACTGATCGTAACAATCCTGATATAAATGCCTGTAACAACAATATATCTATCAGCAACAAACGGGGGGGTCGGATCACATCTTGTCTGGGGGGATGATTTCTACTGATTTTTTACTTTTTTACTGTTTTTGGTTTTTTCGTATATTTTTTTATGTTTTTTGTCTTTCTTGGGTACTATACTATTTTTTGTTTGGTTTTATATATATCTTTAAGTGTTTTTGGTCACAAACCATTCAGGAGATGACGGGACCGCGAATCCCCCCACCCTTCCTGGTTCGTGAATTTTCGGTCTTAACTAAGTTAAAAAGCTATTCACGGCAATCCCGAAGGCTTCCGCGTTCCGAACTACCCTTCCGCCCCGGCGGTTTAGGCCTATTAAGGGCGTTAATGTGAGCATCCGCTCGGCGCGGAGTGCTCGTTAACGGTTCCGCCGGTCATGATGTTAAAAAGAATAACACCCAGGAGCGCCAAAAAAACATCTATGTAACATTCGCCCGGAAGATACATATCGACGGAAGACAAAACTAAGTCTTAAGACGACTGGCTAACGTCTAAACAGAGCTTTGCATGCTTTTCACCGTCTCTACCAAGCCAGTACTTTTCGGTGGTCTTTCTAACATCGGGTCGACAAAAACGTTACTGTTTTCGGCTTCGGTCAAAACACTCAAATTAACTAGATTACATGCAGAAATAGTGAGCTCATGGCTGGGTCTCAGTATCCCCAGACCACGAGGTCACTCCTAAAAACAGGGCTACTACTTATTATATTACTATTGTTTTTGTTCAGTAGATAAAAATCATCATCTACATCGAAGATGGATCAACCCTTTCCCCCAACTCCTAGCTTCTCATCCTTATCAAAATGAATCTAGATGTTAATTAAATTCAAGTCAGGACATGACAAGAAGCTAAAAGTCTATATAACAGGCTAATAGTTTCAGTCCCGAAACCCTTCCGGATTCTTGAATCCACTGAATCAAGCTCGCTAATCTTGATTTCTTCTTAATCCGGAAGGCTGTCCTCCACCCTTCACCGTTGTTCGCAACGGCCTTGCAACTATTGTAGCGGCACAATAGTTGCAACTCGGAGTGTTCACTGCTATTCCTGCAACTCGTTGTCGTTTTCCAATCTCAATTTCGTAGTTGTTGTTAGCGCAGCTAATGTTGTTCTGTTTTTGTTTCTTGTTTCAGCCAAAATGGCCTTTTCTGACGTTTCTCAGAAATATGACGTCATAATTCGAATTTTTGAAATTTTAAAATACCAGAATATTCCAGCCCTCACCGTTTGGCCAATCGTTCCAATAACGTTCTTAGTTCTTAATAATCATCAATCCGGAAGGCTCGCTGCTAAAAATTCGAATTCTGCAGAGATTGCATTTTTCACATTCTGGTCGAATGTCACACTTACTAACTCCTGGAGACTTAAACATTAGACTAGACAGAAAGCGATATAATGTTTAAGATAGTAAATATGGACAGTGATTGTGACCCATCTGAAGACAGCTTGAATTTGCATGATCTATCTGGCCTCGACGTTGAATTGAGCAGTGACAGCGATGAAAATGGATCACACTTTAACACGCCCAAAATACCTGAAAAACCAGTGAATAATTTTGTTTTACCGCAGTGTCTCGAGAGAACGCGTGGTGATCGTGTGCCAAATACTTTGGCATCGCTTCGTGATAATGTTTCGAAGTCACTCAGCCTCGAGAATGAAAATGAAGGTGACATTACAAGTGACGCTTCATTTGGACTTTTGTCAGATGGTAAACTGGATGAAGACAATGATGATATCTTGGGTACGAACCTTGGTAGTAGCTTTTCGAAAGATGTTCATAGCCCCAGTTCTGACAAGGAAAACACGGTATGTGAAACCGTCAATTCGTTTAGGCAGACACTGAATGATAGCAAAAATGACACTATGAGAATTCTCGGTTATATTGCTATGAAAACTCCTGTTAACAATAAAATTGCTTCTAATATTACTCCGAATAGTGTTAACAGCATTAAAAAAGTTAGTTTCAGTGAAAAACTCCTAGAAAATTCGTTTAAAAGCCGATTAAGCTCAAGTAACTCATCAGATGAGCGAATTAGTTTATCAGGGGTATGTGATGTACCCACTCATAATCAAAGTGTTCAACAAAACGAAATGGATGAGAAGACACAGCTCACCAACTTTTTTACGAGGTCACTAGAAATTACTACAGGAGTTAGTAATACAACTGAAGATTTATTAAATGGATTGGTTAAGTCGGCCACAACTGAAGATTTGTTGACTTCGGTTTCCTCCAGAATGAACAGTTCAAGTACGCTTAAAACTGATTCAAGCACGTCAAAAGTCCAGAAAGACATTGATAGAATAAGTAGGGGAGTGCCTGCATATATAACAACCGACTATTCGGCAGTGTTCGATGCAAGCGTTGCAAGAAGTGACACGCTCTCAGAAACTAGGAAGAGCCATGATGTAATTCAGGAGAAACCAGATGGATCCAAAAGTTTGGATTGCGGTGGGGGCGATCGGAAGCCAACACCAGCTTCAAACACGACATCTAATGATACCTTTTACAAAAGTTTTTCTTTGTCTGATTCGAGAATGCAACCAAGTAATAACAACGTCGAGAAGTCTTTTGCGAGCGGAGATTTTGTTACTCCTGGTAAATTGTTCCAAGGACCATTGGACAAGGAAAGCCGAAGTGATTTCTCAAATATTGAGTTCTCTCAAGACACGTCCTTTGGCGATAAAATTTTTCGCGCAACAATTGAAGGGTTTCAGTCGCCTTCCATAAACCTTGAAAACGAAGATGTGCCAAAAATGGCTTTGCTCAAAGATGTCAAGAGTAGGACAGTAAGCGTTGATGAATTTGAGAATGAAAACCAACAGCGTGATTGTGATAGTTCATTGACCTGCCTAACCGCGTCATGCGAATCGATCGCTGCTTCAGTTGGCAGTAACGAAAGTGACCACGTGATCAGTCTAGATACGATTAAAGAAACATGGCCGACACTGAATAGTTACATGAAAGCCAAGGAAATCGCAGAAAGGTTCGAGGATCTGTGTGACAAGACAAAGAAGATAGCAGAAATTGAAGAATTTGAAGACTCGATAGTGTCCTTAACCAGACGCAACAAAATTGACGAGTCAAGAAGAACGAAATCAGATTTGACCTTTGGTGCAGTTGAAAGGCCTTCAATTAATGCCACTGGTGATGCTTTAGTTGAGCTATCTGAATATCCTCTTGCCGAGGATTCAGTTTTCGGCAACAATACGACGAAGGCAAGCATGAAGCCCGATGCGACTTCTGAAAACCATGTTAACTTTGTTGGAGCATCATTCACAAACCTGTCATGCATTTCCTATGCAGAAGGCGAATCGAAGGATAACTGCAGTAAGCTTCGAGGTTTCAGCTTTTCGACTCCCAAAGCGAAAAGCCCGTCGTTGTCAAACTCAACTTCAGAGCTGATTCAGGAACAGGATAATACAATATCTAATACGCCATTAGATAAGAATAGCGAACAACATAGATGTTTGGACGACTCAACGTTACTTTCGAAATATTTGAAGAAATCAGAGGATGTGAACCAATTTTTTGAAGCCGATGCTGATATAAGCAACGATACAGTTGTTCATTCTTGCAGCTTTCCGACTGTCTACGAGAACAGTAATAACTTACCAGCTAGTCTGGATCACTTTGCCAAAACAACACCCAATTTCATATCAAACCTGGCAAAATTGAAGCAGAAAGAAACCGAGTTTGCTGTTAAAGAGTCAGACTTTGCAGTTGACTCTGTGATTAACTTTCCCGACACAATTGTAAATGTGCCCATAAACAAAAAAGTGGGAGTGGAAAATTTGTCAGATAAATGGGTCATAGCAAATTTCCACGTTTCAAATTGTCGATTTTCTCTTAGCAGCTGTGAAAGTGAGACCGTCGCTTCGAATGAGGTTTTCAGTGTTAATCAGTCTGTAGTTTTGAGTCCGCAAGGCAACAAAGAATTTGAAGTTACATTCTCTCCTTCGAAGGCGGGAAATTTTTCTGCTGTCATTAGAATAGCTTTCAGTGGAACCGCAGATGGCGCCAAGTTTGAAAAGAATGTGAAAGTTTTCGGCAGAAGTGAAAATCTTAGTGTCCATTTCCAGAAAGAAGGGGACGTAATCAGCGCGTTAGAATTGAACCATGAACTAAAAAATAGCTCTTCAAAATCAGAAACGAGAATTGAAGTAGAAATCAAATGGCGTTGTTATGTTGCTCTTAAAATCAACTGTCAGCTTTTCTGTTCCATAGCAGACTCGTTAATATTTTCGACTTTTAATGGAAAACAAGTAGACAAGAGCAATAAATTATCATTCAACGCGGTAAATATAAATGAAAATAGTGAATCGGTTTTCAAGGTCGGCCTTGTGTTTGGCGCCCAAAATATTTTGACTTCGGTTACAAGTGTAGCAGGTACGCTGAAGTTACATATCGATGGGGCTAAAGGTACGCCAATAGCCGAGCTGCCGATTAGCATCCGAATCCTGAGGCAAGTTCTTGACATTCCTGAAGATTCTTTGACTGATCTGGTTCTGAAGTGTGACAACGATTATGCGCCTCTTGAGTTCCCGATATCGACTTGCTCGGCAGAAAACGTTTTCGTTGAAATGAATTACGAGAAGAGCGTAATTGACATCGTACCGAATATGTTTTCACTTAAACCGAATTACAGACAGAAAATCAAAGTAAAAGCTAAACATGGAAACATATCGTCAAGTGTTCAGAGAGGATCCCATTTTAAAACGAAAGTAGAAATATTTTCAAATGGAGTTAAGCAAAAAGACATCATAATTCAAATTGAGAAACCAAGAATCACTTGCAAAAGGTCACTTGTGTTCGGTACCAACGCCAAATGCATGCTTTTCAGGTCACCTCAAATTTTTTCGCCAGTCGTAGAAACTCTGAAAATGGAAAACTCGACGAATGAAGTTTTGGATCTAAATGTACATATCGAAAAAGTTAATTGCTTTGAAATCTCAGCGATTAGTTCCTTTGTAGACTCAAGCTTGTTTGACTCAGCTGGTGGACTTTATCCTGTCAGACTGCCTCCTAAAACCAATTGTAAAATCTCCGTTAAGTTTCACAGCTTTGATGTCAAACTGGAATCTTCATACTTGATAGTTCGAGTGAAGAACTCGCTTTTGAAATACGTAATTCCTCTTTATGGCTATTCGGGACGGTCATCGCTCACTACCACATCATGCCAAAACTTGACAAATAGTGATTCTAAATTGAAGGAAATAGTTCTAAAGAATACGGGATATCAGGATTTATGCTTTGCAATAAACGAGGAGTCCCTCAAACTGTGTAGCGCCAATCCAAGACATGGAGTTATAAAAGCTCAGAGTGAAATTTCAGTTAAGGTTCTCATTGAGCATTCTCAAGGCCATATTGAAGACCTTGAAATAAATTGGGGTGACTATATTTTGAAGAAAATTTATGATAATTGCATCCATACTGGGAAAAGCGTGCACGAAGTTCCATCCAAAGTACAGAAGCTAGTTGATTTGAATTTTGACAACGAAGCTTCCAATATTTCGGCAATAATTGGAAACATTTCTTTGAACCACCGATTTTTGAAACATCTTGACAACTCTTGTTTTGTGCCTCTTGATTTGGATTTACTTGCGAACGGACCCGATGAGTTGCCAGAAAGTGAACGAACTGTAACCTCAGTTTCAACAGTTATTCAAGAGGGATCTCACCTCTCGGCTAAGAAGACGAATGAAAACGAGAGATGGGTTGTTCGACCAGACTACCTGTTGTTTAAAACCGACACGCAATGTTTTGTTTTGGAGAATAAGTGCAATAAATGCCTAGAATTTGTAATTTTGACCTCAGATTCTGTTTCGGCTAGCCCTGTTCGAGGAGTATTGAAGGCCTTTGAAGAAGTTATTGTTGACGTCCGGTTTAAAAAAGAAAAAGTGAAACACAAATTAAGTAGAGATAGTCTTTGTGTGAAAATTGAAAATGAAGTGAAAGAAGTGAGCCTGGATTTCAAACGTGAAGACTTCGATAACTATGATATGGTATCAGTTTGCTCGAGTAGTGGAATGAGCTTCAACATCAGTGATGATATTGTTACACTTGTCAATGAAGTTTTGAAGTTTCCACCGGGAGCGAAAGTCGGCGATTGTCAGCAACTAACGTTGTCGTTTACGAATAAGATGTCGGATAGTGTCAAATGGGTGTTATCATCAGTCGCTCCAACATTTGTTAAATGGAACCAAAACAAACTATACAAAGCTAAATATGCCGTGTTTAGAGTTGAAAAATCACTTGGATATCTGAAAGAAAAAGAATCAGTTGATATTGCGGTGAGTTTTGCGCCCTTAGACGTAGGATCATATTTCCAGCACTGGGAACTGCATATAACAGCATTGAATAAAAATGTCTCCAAGTTCATCAGGGTTTGTTGTTGCGGCGAGGCAAGAAAGACTCGGAAGTCTCTGACGTCAATACCGAATTTGGATGAGACAGAATTGGACGAAGTTTCGCCGCGACGTGAAGGAACCGGACGATTGGAACTCGTAGCTGATAAAGATGCAATACACAAAAAGCGTCGCAGCATCGTCACGACAGAAAATGTTCTTAATTTCCCAGACGTCAAAATAGGTCAGAGATTTTTCCATAATTTCTTATTGCTTCGACCACGAAGACTGAAGGATGTTTCTGGCGTAATATCAGATACCACGTGTAAACGGCTGAAAGGTCGAATGATATATCACATTAAGTAAAACCCTTACAGTCGTGCTTCGATTGAAATTAACAGTTGCGATTAGCCAACGTTATCAAATCGGAACAGAATATTTTTTCCAGGTTAACAACTTGTCTAACAGAATTTTCTGCTAACAGACATAGCTCTGCCAGCAAACGGAATTTTTACACATCTATATTTTAAAATCGTATTCAATTTTCGAAAGTTGTTTTTTTTTTGGTTGTAAACCAACTCGTCTTGAAGTAGTTTCTCGGCATTTCTTAAATTGGTTAGGTCGCCTCATCTTGTGGTATTTAAAAGCCAAAATATGTTTTGATGAATTTCGCGTGCTTCAATGGGGAGTGAAATTAATGAAAATCCGAAATTAAAAATTATGTGAAATTAAGAAGTATGTGAAATTAAAAATTTTGAGTTGCAATTTTTTTTTGAAACATTTTTTTTCCGGCTCAAAGGGAGCTACCCACGAATAGTCGACTTTGTTTCCGGTTAATAAATTCTGGTTGAAAGCTTATTTACGGCTGGTAATTTCCGTTCCCGGCACGTTTTCCTCAAAATGAGCTTCATGTGGGAGAAGCATTTTCATAGAGGAATTTTGTATTCGGGTTTTCTAGTTTTGTGTTTTTTTTTGCTTTCTGTTTTCCGCGCAAATTTTGAAATTTTTTTCACAGCGTCGAGAAGAACCGGTTTGAAATTTTTGATTTCTCGTCTAATTTCGAGTTAATTAGGTGACTGTATATGCCTATAATAGCTTATTTAAGCTTAATTTCAGCCGTGAAAACTTAGTTTTTTTCAAATAAAGGTAATTTATGGAGTTTTATTGCAATTTTCGGAATCAAAAACTTGAAATTTCAAAAAAAAATGCAAAAAAAATTTGAGATTTTAAGTTTTTTTAATTTTTGTTTTCGTTTTCTACTGATTTTTTTGAAATTTTTTTCCAAAAGCTGTTTTCAAATTGACCTATTTTACTATGACTCTCAAGTATGCCTATTTTTCGTTTATTTTTTTATCACAACATGCAGAAAAAAACGACACCAACTTGTAAAAAAAAACTTGCGCAGTAACCGGCTATCCTTGTTAATTTATATATTTTTTTTCATACAATTTTTCGGCTTCGTGGTTTTCATCCCATTTTTTTGGTTGACTTGCTTTGCTGTGTTTCTGATGTATCGAAAGTGGTGCAAAGCTTTGCTTCCCCTTTGCGTAACATATTTCAAAAGGTCGTCTCAGTGACAAAAAAATCGTTTCTTTTTGCTTATTGACGAGTTTAGAGTGAAGTAACTCTTCACAGTGGTTCATTTTCATTACAATCTGCTATAGAGAAGTTTATGTGCTAATGAAGCAATTGGCATTTTTTTTCAATCTAATTCAATTATAAGTCTTCTTCTTAAGTGATAAAAAACGATAAAAAATTTAAAAAAAAAACAAGTTTTTGATTTCGCTTTAGCGCTACTGATTTGCATTATCAAATTAGAACTTGGAAGATTTTCAGGAAAGTAAAACTAATGATAGCCATTTTTTGGTACTCTTGATATTGCAGTTTTTTTACGAATTTGTTTGTTTTGAAGTTTTTGCTTGGGGAAAGTTTAATTGTCGGTCTGTTTTGTCTGCTTTGTAATTCTCGGTCTGTTTTGCCTGCCTTGATATACTTGCCAAAAATGAAATTCATTTTTATGTAATTTTTGTAATGACTTAAATAGTTCTAATTATTTTTTAACTGTCCTCCTGCTGTTTTGTCAATTTACAGTATGTTGAATAAGTTTTTTTTCGGTAACAATGGATTCGGTTAATTTTTTAAAGATTCAATGTAGTGAAGATAGTTATGTAGGTCGTGATGATTTTTTGCCCGGAAAGTCATGAAATTTGACCACGCTTAAACTTGAGTTGTCGCGGCTTGACTTCTGGTTTCGACTTCTTTTTTTTTCGACTACGTGGTTTTCATCTCCTTTCTTTTGGTTCACTGGCTATGCTATGTTTCACTTCCTATGCTACGTGCACTTGCTATGCTATTTTTTCAGGGAAATCTTTAAAGTTGTCCAAGCTCAAATTTAAATTTTTGCAGTTGTACGTCTGAATTTGATTTTTTTTCCGATTTTTGAGATTCCGGCCCTATAATTTACTCCAAGAATGGTTCGTTTTCAGCTCCATTTAGCCAATCAGAATTATTTACACTAAAGCCAAATCCTTTTTTAACGTAAGTTTTGATTGAATAACTGGAGCTAAAAATGACCCAATTTTTTAGCGCAAATTTGTTCACGCTCAAACTTTGAGTTATCGCAGTTTGACTTCTGGTTTCGACTAGTTTTTTTTTCGGGCTACGTGCTTTCCATCTCATTTGTTTTGATTAACTTACTATGCTATGGTTCACTTGCTATGCTTTGTTCAGTTCCTCTGTTTTTTTCACGACCTTAATAAAAGTTTTCACTTCCTTCACTGACTCTTTATAACAAACAGAATCCGTTTTTAGCGTATTTTCGGATTGACTAAATGGAGGTGAAAATGACCCATTTTTACCGTAAGGTTGTCCTTGCTGAAAGCTGAGTTTCTGTGGTTTGATATCTGGTTTCAACTACTTTTTTTGATTTCGTAGTTGTCATCTCATTTCTTTTGGCTGACCTGCTTTTTTCATTTTAATTGCTATGCTTGGTTCTTTTGTTGTTTTATTTTTCACGACCTATATAAGAGTCTTCACTGCGCTCATTGACTCACTACGTGCAATTTCTGAGTGACTAAATTTTGCTGAAAATGACCCATTTTTTGCGTAACTTTGTCCGCGCTCAAACTTTTTTACGCGGTTTGACTTCTGGTTTCGACCACTCTTTTTTTCCGGTTACGTGGTTTTCATCGCATTTATTTTGGTTCGCTTGCTATGCTTTGTTTGACTTGCTATGTTATGTTCAATTTCATAGCGAACTATATAAAAGCCTTCGCAACCTTCCTTGACTCTGTCAAAGCTAAAGCCGAATCCTTTTTAGCGTAATTATTGATTGACTAACTGAAGCTAAAAATGACCCAATTTTTTATCGTAAACTTGTTTTTGCTGAAAAGTTGAGTTTCCGGGGTTTGATATCTAGTTTCGACTACTCTTTTTTCGAATACGTGGTTTTCTAATCATTTCTTTTGGTTCACTTGCTGTGCTAGGTGCTGGAAATTGACTAAATCAAGCTGAATCTTGAACCAATTTTGAGCGTAGTTTGGTCCACGCTCAAACATGAGTCTTCGCAGTTAGTCTCCTGGTTTCAACTCCTTTTTCGATTACAAGGTTTTCATCTCATTTCTTTTGGTTCAATAGCGATGCTAAGTTTCACTTGTTATGCTATGTCCACGTATGCTGCTTTTTTCATCACGGCCTGTATAAATTCTTTTCAACGTTCATCGACTCTTCAAAAACACAAGCCGAATCCATATTTAGCGTTGTTTCTTAGCTTGTATCTGATTGACGAAATGTAGCTAAAAATGATCCAATTTTGGGGTAAAATGTAGGGCATGAATTTCGCCCCAGTTTAATTGGCTGAAGTTTTTTTTACAAAAGTTCTCGGCATTTTTTGTCATCATAATTTTTGTCTAATGTCGACCCAATTTGAAAGTTATAGTTTTCAATTTTGTTGTGATAGTTTAAATCAGCGCTATGAAGCAAAAACAAGAATAAATCTGGAAATTGAAAAAAATTCTTAAAATTCATTCACCCTCTCATTAACAAAACTTAGATGCGGCAATTTAAAAATGGTGGAACATCCGTAATTTTTCAAAAGAAAACTAGGCTCTGGAAAGTAAGCCGACAAAAAGTAGACAGACCCCGACAATTCCAAAGTTTTAGACAGACCCCGACAATTCCAAAGTTTTCGGATATACTCTGCCATATTTCAAAGTGACTGTTAAATTTCCTTTTGCATTTCTTTAGTTCGATCTTAATTTTCCGCTAGATATTTCTAATGATGTTTAAATAGGTGATTAGGCATTCCATTGAGAGGCCACAACATTGAAACAAGCAACTTTTTTTGTATGCGTTCACTAGTTCAGATCGGCGACAAAGGGCATTTTCCTGCTGGAGTATGGGTAAATAATCCGGATTCATTTGTTTAAGTACCGTGGGAAGGTGCTTATATACTAGGTCCAATTATTTAGGGCCATTAAGAGTGCGCGAGGTAGTACTAGGAAAGTATCTGATGTAATTGCGCTGCAAAGTATCGAGGTTCCTTTTGTCAATGATTGAAGTTGTATTCTTCGAGTTTTTTACGCCTATTTTTGTTTTTGTGTGTTGTTCCGCCACCACAATGCGTTCATCCGTAACTATCCAGTGCTTCTAAAACGAAAGATGGACATCCTTGTGCCGACATTCTATTAAATTTTTTCACGAAGTTCTTCGATACGCTAATTACCATTTGCTTTGTCTCGCATACACCTCTTCGGCTTCTTACACTCAATAACGGGGATTGAGTTCCGGCGTTGAAGCCCATGAAAATGTCCTTTACGGTATTCCTTTGGTGTCATTTTACCAGAAACAAAAACTTGTATTTGTCCTTAAATGCCCATTTTTTTCCTACCTCGTCTGCCCACATTGGCACAGTTGTGATCGTATTGGAGAACTATGGGGACAGTATTAGAACAGCAGTTCATGATTTTTGCGATGTTGTTTAGTGGATTGGCCTTTTCAACCTTAGATATCATTAAAATCCGTTTTTTTACCACCTTTCTCGAACAGACACAACAGCTCTATGGGAGGGAATATTTGATAATATGAACCGGAAAACCAGCTATACGACAACGTGTCGAGTTCATTTTCCACTTGTCTTTCGGTATAAATTCAATTCAAAGCCACAAAACATCCGTCAAAAGGTATTTTGTCAATCACCGTTAGTTTTAAGCCATGAGTGTAATTTGTCTAACAATTGACCTGCTA